CACACACATACACACACACACACACACACACACACACACACATATACATATACATGCTCAGACAGAAACACTTGCACACAGAGAACGACATATATATATATTCTGCAATAAAAGAGGAGTGCGTGTGGTGAAGTGGTTGGAGGTGCCCTGCAGCACACATTTAGAATCGATCCCCGCACCCATGACCCACCAAACCTTCCATTACTCCAAGCTCGGCGAATTGGTACGAGGCTCGTCTGAGAGGAAAGCAGCACTGGCTCGATACATCGGTGGGCTACCACGAGTCATTGCAAAGGCCAGATATGCATTCAGTCTCCTCCAAACGATGTTTAATGAAGTTGAATGCATGGCGCATCGCTCAGGGATTGATCAACGTCTGCAGCTTAATCGTTTAGAGCTTTATATATGTCTATATATATGTATATAGATAAATGTGTCCATATACATACATGTTTACATGCAACTACGGCTTTTCTCACACAAGAAATAAAAACTAGTGGTAGCGGCTGACGCACTGTTTTTTAGTTACAATTTAAATAACTCAACTCTATATTCAGAATTTTGGCACTGTTTTGGTGGAAATGTTAACCCAAGCTCTCGAAAACATCCAGATGAAGAATTGCCGTCTTCAATAATTCATAACAATGCATCTTTTTGTGTCAGAAATGAAGCTCAACCTGTGTGGACTCCAATTCTGAGGTGAATTCTGTCATTTGGTAGATGTGGTATGCTGAAATACTTAATGCTGTTCGTGAAGTCTAGCGACATGCCGCAGATCTCCTTTATGTGCTCGTTGCCATTTCGATGAGGTAGTCCGCTAACGCAGAGGTAACCATCACCAATTGTTTCCACCTTCAGAGAATTACGGAAGTTACGTTCACTTATTAGAGAACGAAAAAATAGAAGAGTAGTTGAGGAGAAAAAAATTATTCCCACTCACCTTATATACGTCATGTTCGTTAATTATACCGTCAAAAATTGTGTAGAGCTCATTCAGCAAATTAACGACCTTTAAGAACTGGTATTATGCAAGAAAAGAAGAACCACGCAAGACGCCTCTTTTGTCAGTTCAAATATATTTCTATAGATAAGCTGAGCAGAAAGACAAATATTCAAACAGAAGCAATTAGGCACTGTTTCACCTTCGTAGTTCTAAATATGGTCCTGGAGCACCAAAAAATCGTACAATACTTCTTGAATAGAAAGTTATTTGATGGAGATAGTGCAGTCAGTTTTACTCTATTTGAAAAACGGCTCTGTTTCTTAAGCGTTCTTATGTCTGATTCAAATAATAGTCGAGCGGCTTGGACGCCTGCTTTCACAAACAGTTCAGGCCTCTGAGCGACTTTCATTTGTCTAGAATAATGTTTTAAAAGTGAAGCACGCTCTTTCTCGTGAAGGTTTGAGGTCGTCATGCCACCGCTTCACTTTGCTCACAAGTAGTCTCCGATCTATATCAACCGGCAGACAGTTTGCTGCATTAAGCTAAAATTTGTTGCAGAATGGTCGTCACTTACATTCTTATATTACATTGTTTCTAGATGGACTTCGGCATGGAAACGGCCGTTTTACTCTTAGCTGTGGTGATCAGACTACGATAGAATTCGCACGGTGAATCCATTTCGACGTCCAAGGCACTATTTCATTACGTTGAGGCAGAAATTTGCTAACAGGATATTGCTCGACGATACGACTGTCGGAAATAAAACGAACTATATGTAACTGCTCTGTACTACCACGATTTCGTTTCATCCTCGTAACTTTGGCAGATTTCTTTAAGGTCCATTTGCTTCCGTTCGCATGAACGGTACCAAAAGCTCCGAACTTTGAGTGTGAATCCGTACATTTTCACTATTATTTGCAAGAAAGTTGCAAAAAACAGCTCAACAGCTCACGCGACCATGTCGTGCCATAAGTTCACTCTCAAATGGTGTTCACAATGAGAAATTCGAGCTCCTCTTCTGCATATTAGACCTAACTAAAGGATAAATCCCAGCTGTAAGGAAGATTTCTATGCCAGCAACGGCGCTGATGTGACAGGCAAAATATTGGGTGAGCTAGGAGATTTAGTTCCCAGGATCGACTTTCTCTTAACCTCGGCATTGGAATATGAATGTGTCGTTTTCTTGTTCAGCAATCGCGAGGTTTTTAAACAGCATACATTTACTTCCATAAAAACACAAGGATTAGGAGATTTAGATTCCAAATCGTGACTATAAAGGTTTACCAGAAGTTATACACTCCTTGGCGATGTTAGTCGCAATAAATATTTTAATTACATGACCCTTACTTTCTAATTTCGCACTGGTAGCATATTCCGTTGCGTCTATAGAAATTTTGACAAAGTTCATCTAATATACTTATTCTACAGCGTATTTCAAAAAACATTCTTTTTAGTGGAAATTATTCGGAATCAACTTTTTTCCATATCATTTTGAGATCTGTTGTGGAGTTTCATAGATATTGCGTTAACTTAAAATACATTCTCAACTTTGTCTTCGACAAACTCTCCAGAGGACCACGTACCTCTATGAATAACAAAATTAAGTAAGGATAAAGGGTAACAGGCAATGCTCCCAACACTGGTCAATCCATGTGCGACCCCTCAAGTATACGACTTTAGTACTAATCGTTTAGGTGACCTAATGCATATCATTCCCATAAAATGGCTTCCTGTGCCTATCAATGTATTAAGTTAATGTGTTTATCCTCACAGACGGCGGATCTCCCTCAAACCACGGAACTCCTTCATATAAGGGCCCTCGAGCTGGTTAGTTGCGAGGTTACGTGGCGCGTCCCAGGTGGCGGATAGGGGTTAATCGCGGACCAAAAGCGACCTTTGCTTCACTGAGACGCAGGTGGATCCAGGGAATAGAGTCCCTCTTTGTGCCGCTTTGATTTCGAGCATACATTCTGTATTTACGAGGCATATTCATGCACTCGTGTGTGGGTGCGTTCTAGTTTATACGGAATTTACTCTACGAGTCAATTCGGCCAAAAGCCTGGAATCAAGTGATAGGAAAGTATACGGGAGGCGGCTAGGAGTCGCCTCTAACAAATAAGCTCCATGCCCACTCTGAGAGCCTCGTAAGCTATCTGTGAGTATACCCAGCCTTCACGTTCAGAGCCAGCAAACAATACGTGGGTATCAAAATGATAAACACGGTAAAAAAACGGCCCTCATTTTCCTGACCCCGAAAAAGACCCCAGTTTCGCAGCGTTGTGTGGGACGAGTACGGAGAGGCTGCTAAAATCTCAGGGCCAATGGTAGCTGCCTGGATTACAAAGGACTATGGTGACGATCCGTACCTACAATGCACGTACACTTGCATCCGAGTTCTCGATAGAATACTTGCTCAAACAAGTAGGAATGATAAAGTACGACGTCATCGGCCTGGCCGAGACGAGACGAGGCCACCTATTCAATGCCTTCTATGACATCGGAGATGAACCGTTCCTCGGAACATGCGATGGTAGAGGAGTGGGCAGCGTCGGCGTTCTCGTCAACATGAGTTTGCCTATGAATATCGGATTCATTCGAACAGCTCACAACCTGAATCAGACGTTTACAATTAAAAAGATGTGAATCAATACCGGCTTTGACAATCTTCGTTGTTTACGCGCCGACATCAAACTATGACGAAGAAGAAGTCGAAGTGTTCTATATGGACTTGGAGAAGTTCTACAGAGGAGACCATACATTCTTCAAGGTCATCATTGGAGATTTCAACTCTAAGATTGGACCAAGAAGAACGTCTGAAGAACGTTACATTTGGATCCATGGATTAGAATGGAACGGACAGGGTGAGCGGGTATCTGAGTTTATCACGGCGACCAAAACCATCCGTGGAAAGTCGCAACTACAGAGGCCCCACTCTCAACGTTGGACACTGGAGTCTACCAATAGAGAGCATCATAGCGAAATAGATCACATAGTAGTAAATACAAGGTTTTGCCTAACAGATGTCGCTGTTGTCCCAAAGTTCTACACGGGACCAGACAACCGTCTCCTTCGCACAAGATTCCATTTTTCGTGGAAAGGAGAAAAAGCAGCTGGATTCAAAAATTGAAGTCCCGAAACCACCATAAACTCAGACTTATCCAATTCAGCAGTTGGAAAGATGCCGTTGTCGATAGCATTGACGAAGAATACGATCGGCTCATTCAACATCTCCACGTTAGCGCTATGAAAGCTGAGAGTACGAAAGTCACCAAGAGACGTCTGTTTCCAGAAACTCTAGAGCTCATAGGCCAGCATGAAATCGCGCGAGCTGCAGGCAACTGCGAACTAGCGTCCGAACTTTAGTCTAGTGTAAACTAATCTTACAGAGAGAAGAGCAGCATCAATGGTCGAAACTGCAGAGGCTGGGAAAGGCATTCGCAAAGCCCTCCGATGCTTCGCCAATTAGAAGACCAAGATGATTGGAGTTCGGCGCCCAGACCAAACAGTTACAGCGTCCAGAAAGGTAATGGAGAAAATCATTTACGAATACTACTCGGATCTCTTCGATAACCACGTCCACCTTCCGTCATATGAAATAAAGGAGGATGGATATGTTGTACCACCGTTCTCCTTTCCGAAACCCGACATACCATTTCGTGGGTGAAAAATAGAACAGCACCAGGTCCGGACAGGATAAGACCAGAGCACCTGAAGAGCCTTCCGCCAGTCCTCGTAAACACATTGGCTCGGTTGTTCACACGTTGCCTGTCCGAGTCCAAGGTCCCTTAGTCAGTGGAAGACCAGCAGGACCGTGCTATTGTTCAAGAAGTGTGATCTACACGGTATCGGCAACTATCGTCCAATCTGCTTGCTGTCTGTTGTCTACAAACTTTTCACTCGCGTTATCCTAAATAGGACTGATAGAACACTGCACGAAGGACAGCCATGTGAGCAAGCATGGTTTCAAAAAGGATTGGATGATAGATCAGTCAGCTTTATCGAACGCGTAGTCGAAAGGACGATGCTAGAAGTATCCCGTTTCACACAAGTAAGGGATGGGATCCGAAGCTCCGACCTGCGTCAACGATTAAAAACCAAAGATGCCGTTCTGTACGCCAAACAGTCGAAGATAAGGTGAACCGGACACGTAATGCGTATGAATGGCAACCGATGGACACTACCGTTAGTGACTGGATTCCTCGGGATATCAATCGTCCTGCGGGAAGACAACCGAAGCGATGGTCAGAGTTTTTTTACTATAAGCCTAGACGAAAGTTATGTTGCTCGACGAGTCCCTAGAGCGAGCAGAACCCACTGGGGTACTCGTGCATGCGACAGGTAAAAATGGAATATTTACTGGGGCCTGCTCGAGTCACTCGACGAGCAACAGGACTAAGGGTGATAGAGGTGGTACTCGCAGACTGGCCTACACCAATCTGCCAACCTCAAAAAAATAGAAGCTTCGGTGAGCCCGGAGCGTCAGATTTAGCCATCGATCGAGCCAACATGTGTTAATAAGAAGTTTGCACTTAGGCTCAGAGGGCTCGTGTAGCATGCAGTTCTTCTGTGCTACACGAGCCCTCTAAGCGTAAGTGCAAACTTGTTATTAATTGCAGTTTGTTGGCTAGACTTGAATGAGTGCGTAGAGACTCGGATTACCTATTTTTTACCATATAAATAAAACCGTAAAAGGATTGGAAACTTTGTTATCAGGATTATAAATACATTCAGCAATGACATTGGCTAGTTTCGGCAAAAAATTTTCACTTTTGGTGTACAATACTTTGCAGCTTATTTATGGCATGCTGGATTGTGGTTTTTTTTTAAATTTTGTACGGTCCGTTTTTCGCATCTATTGCGCTGATCCCAGCACTGTTTGCACTTGATTCGAGTCGTTGCATCTGTCACCCATAAAGGTCTCTCAACTTTTTCGTGCAACATTGGTTGCTGCTTGAGGATTTTCATTTAATTCTGAATATTACAGAATGCTGGTCGAGTAGATTCTATCTAAAGCCCTGAAACCGCTAAACTAGAGCTTTCAACTCGAGTCACAGGAGGGTTTGCACTTTTCAAGTCTAGTGCCAATTTCCTGATCCCAGAATGATGGGAGCTGCACTGAGTGCGGAAGGAGTCAAACCAGTTCCGAGCCCGCGATTTTCGACTTCACTATCCATGCGCTATCCTCCCCACAAAAGATTAAGAGAATACATACTATTGGAGTAAAAATATGCATTTACGTAAAAATCGATAAGGCAAAGAGTTTATAGAAATAGATATTAGTATCGTCGTGCGTTATTTGTTCGAAGTTGGAAAACCACTATGAAAGCAACTGGAAATGCTACCAATTTATAAACCACGAAGAGGTTTTCAAAACGCACGATAGATGAGTGTCTCGTAAGGTTTCGTAATAGTAGCATGAGCCTTCATGAGAGGTGGAGCCATTGCCAACCATCAGCGGTTCGACAACCATCTGGCGCGGATTATCGAACCTGATTCTGAGACTCTGGGCAATAAAATTAAACATTTCTCCAACACGCTGTGATACGCGATGAAAATTCGAGCTGTATTGCATCTTGTAGGGCAATTGTCCAGTGGTTAGATTAAGATGAAGCACCGAAGCGATCCTCAATGTCACATTTATACAAACAGGTGTTCTGCCTTGTCGGTGTCAGCCAGCATGGTAACTTCTAGAATCCTGGTGAAACGATTCGGTAGGAGAACGTTGAAAAATCGATGAGTTGAAGGAACCAGCCAAGGAAACAGCTTCTCTTTTGCCATATATAGGATTAGGACATAGGATTTGCCTCCTCTCGATTATCATCTTTCACAGACTGTCACCCTCAAGGGAAAACAATAAGTCGCCAAATTGTTGTTGATTTGGTCTTCGAAGAATTTATTACTTTCAGAATATTGGGATTCTATCCTACAAAGATAAACAAATTTTCTTCATGTTAGCAAAAGTCTATAGTTTTACGGCTCTCATTTGCTAAATAAGGTTGTGGTTCAGCCGAGTTAAGGCATTTTGAAATGCCCGTTCAAAATCTCTCACTAGTATCGCATCAAATTAGTTGCGCCAAATATTGTAAAAATAACTAGTGATAGTTGTTTTCGATGGATTGCTACTGCAATGCAAAACATCGCATCTGGTTTTGCAGTGTCTAATGAAGTACCAATAAACTGCACTTTCCGTCAATTTCCGTTGGTGCGGTTGGAGAAATCTTAAAATCCATACAGGATGTGGTCCGCGTTCACTCTGAGGTTTAGAAGCAAAAACAAAGAAGGCTAATCGTTACAAGAATTTTGTGTACGTTTCCACATATATCTTACGAAAACAATAAAAATAACGACACACACCTGTAAAGGAGTGCCTTTCGCAGCGATTTTCGTAAAAGACACGACGTCCGAGAAGAACACCGTAACACTTTCGAATGTTTCTGGCTCCACAGTCTGACCGAGTTTCAGTTTTTCGGCCACCTGCCTGTAATATTTACTTTCTTTCTAGTTATTTGCGGAAGCACCTTATAGACTACATAAAAATTCACAAATATAGTTAGGAAAGCTATAAACAACGATCACGTCGTGTTGATTGGACAAACACATAGTGGAATTTATCTCTCGTAAACGCTACGCAGGCTGGGAACGAGTTTTACACTTTCACCCAAAAAGTCAGCAAAGATTAAGCCCATATAGTGGCAGAACGTAAGGGATATCTGTTACCACCTTCCTGCCAGAAAGGACAAATTGTTTTCTCTTTTATATGACACTTTGTCCTATGCGGAAAACCTCAGCACTTCCTGCGCTCTATTAGTTCCTTTGTATATGTCACCCACGAAACTCATCGAACTTTTCGCTTCCGCCCTTGGCTGTTGTTTGACGGTTTTCATCGTCTCTTTACATTTTCTTGAGTTGATTCTCACAACAATATTTCGATATCCAAGGTAAGATATTCCCAACGTAATTTCAGGGAATAAGCTGGTTTATGAAAAGTCTTGATGCAGTTCCTCTCCACTGTGGTTGGAGGCTTAGTAAACAGAGACGCCCTCTTGCTCGTAATATACGATGTAACTACTACTGCTCTACCCGTATACTAGCAGTAAGATAGAGATGATGGTGTCAAAACTGCGGCATTTTTCCTGTTCGTCGAGCGACCTCGGCGAACAGAGCACTTGCTGCTGCACAACGCAAAAAAACAGGTGCTTTTGAGTCATTCGATGACTATGGGAATCACAAGTGATGAAGATTATAGTAGTGATCACTAATAAAGCACGAATAAGTTTTTAAGGACTAGTGGTGTTCTCGTCTGATTGTGTTCTCTTCTGATTTTGTTCTCTTCTGGTTTTGTATCGGTTCAGGAAAAACATATTTGACATTGAATAAAAGCCAAAACTGGGCAGTTTTTTGGTGATTCACCAACTTAGACGAGAAATAATACCTTTCTTGAGATAGATAGGCTAAAAGGGAAGGACCCTAATAAAAATAATGAAATTCTATTACCTACCTAGGTAGCATTCTGTACAGTAAAATATCACTTTTTTTCTTTTCTTCCACTAATTCTTTCGTTCTGTCCGCTACTTCTTCTTCCAGCGTCGAAGCGTACTGTTCGAGTATATTAAAGACATAGTCCATCAAATTTTGACGTCTTAACGAGATATGGTTAACATTTCTATCAACTTCAATAGTTCATAAGTTAGAAGTGAATTGATTATCTACTCAAGTGTTGCTGAAGACAGTCAAATATTGCGTAACATTTTCCATCAAATAACGAATATTTGAGTGCAATTCGTTTGTGGACAATGAGAAATAAGGGATTAAGCTCTCAGCGTTGATCAATCCCTGATGGATGTGCCATGCATTCGACTTCATTAAACATCGTTGGAGGTGACTGAGCGCATATCTGGCCTTTACAATGACTTGCGGTGGCCTATCGATGTATCGAGCCAGTTCTGCCATCCTCACAGACAAGTCTGTTGCCAATTTGCCGACCACGGACTGATGGAAGCTTGGTGAGCCATGAGCGCGGGGATCGATTCCACGTGCATGTTTCAGAGTGCTTCTGACCACTGCACCTCACGCACACCACCGTGTTCGTGAACAATACTTAAGCAAATCGCATAACACTTTCCAACACCTCAAATCTCTTCCTCATATTTCCATTTCAAAGTGCATTTGGTTAGCATTGTGATATTACCTGTTCGAGTTAATATCTCTCACTAGCATTCTCACTGTCGTGATGGTGGGTCTCTCATTCGGTCGTTCCGCCCAGCAGTCACGGATTAATTGAAGCTGGAAAAGTTTTTGTAAGCAATTGCGAAAACATATTGATGCTGGTTGGAAAGAAGGCTTGCTTGTTTGTCTCTGATATCAACAAAGGAATAAACGCCTTGGAAACAATCTCGCTTTGATCAGAAGAAACAAAAATTTTCCGCTCCATTTCTCGCTACCATGTAACGCATGAGATGCACTTTATGCTGTAAATGTGTGGACGTGGGCAAAGTGAGCGATGTCCATTGCACCCAAGGTATGGCTTTGCCAATCAGTAGTTTGTTTTCTTAAACAAGGCATTCCTACCGCCCTTTCTTTGCACTCAGTAACTAAATAGAGCTGCACTGCTGTCATGTAATATGTGGTTAATGAAAAACCGCTTTCTAAACATAACAGTTATCAAGAGGCCTTCCTTCATTGACCATTGACTCGACTAGTAATTGATCATGCCAATTCCGGTCGCTATGAATAATCATGTCTGCTGTATTGAATGGGTGAGCATAGGAAATACAGAGATAAAATTTTTTGATGTGTAGAGGTCTTCAGCAGTTACGAAGGTGACAGTATTGTCACGAAGGCAATAGATCGCCTTAGCTTGCAAAGTAACACTCTTTCTCCGTCGCTGCCTGCAACACCAAGCCGTTCCGAGCTTCATAAAGCAAAGACAACTACACGATGTATGCGGACTAACGGAGGATTGCTTCCGAGTACTGGGCATCGAACTGCTAGTACTACGCTTCTATCTACGAGACGAACAAGATCAGAAGTTCGCTAATTTAAAGAATTGGCAGTGAAGGAACACCACTGTGATATTTGGACGATTTTTTCTACATCAGAATAGTGGGTGCGTCAGTGTTGATTTGCAACTCTATTCGACCTAATGCTAAACAAATTTTACGGAGAAAATTCGAAGACCATTTGAGTAAATCGCATACCACGGAAGGTAGAGAAAACCGTTAGCGGAGACCAAACGAGTAACGGTAGGGCAAATAATGTCCCAGAAACATCATCACTTAGCGTGTTAAGGGACACAGCTCTACTTGACGGGAAGCGCTCGCCATTAGAATTTGGGCCGTTTCTCTCCATCCAAACCCATTTCTATGGTATCCTTGCATAGGGTCGTATGTAGTGTGGGTAAACTCCAAGAAGGACTCCGAAAGAAAGTTGGAGTTGACGGATTAAATGTCAGCGAACAACAAGAAGCTAGGTCATTACCATTAGAGCCGTTTCTTCAACCGTTATTTGGATTGCAAGACCTTAAGCATGAAGTTGATATCAACATTCGGATAATTGTGAACAAAAATTTCAAATTTCTTAATCATTGTCGGGTAAGGAGATTTCGCTCCAACCTTATAGAAACGCAAAAATATAATATGCAGAAGTACGAGAGCCGATAAGGTTAAAAACCGTTAGCTCAAACCAGTGTTCCACGAATCCTGTTTAGGACCATTTGAGTGAAAAGCTTGCAAACGACGGGCAATAAAGATGCTGAGCGATAGTTGCCGATGTCATGGAGCTCTCCCTTCCTGAACAACAACACTGTCCTGTTGGCCTTCCTTTAAATGTGAACTTAGCATTCAGAGAGGTAACGTGCGAAGATAGAGACGAGCCAGTGTGTTTATAAGGTTTGGCGAAAGGCTCTTTAGGTGTTCAGATCTTATCTTACCCTGACATCATATCGTTCCGTTCTTTACGGCGAAGTTGCATTTTTTCGAAAGGGAGAAGCGGTGGTACAACATATCCATTCTTCTTTACATCACATGAGAGCAGGAAGACGCGGCCATTGAGAAGGTCCGAGTAGTAATCGCGAATTATTTTCTCCATTGCCTTTCTGGACGCTGTAACTGTTCCGTCTGGGCATAGAAGTGCGACCACCCTGGTTTTGTGACCGGTGAAGCTTCGGTGAGCTTTGCGAATGCTTTTCCCAACATCTACAGCTTCGACCATAACTGCTGATCTTCTCTCCTCAAAATCTTCTTTTATCGCTTGCGTCCATTGTTTTGCAACTTCCGTCGTGAATTGGCGGTTGTGTTTAGTTCGTAGGATTCCACGATGATCTGATGATCGAGTGATCTGAAGACGGACGTTTCTAGGTTACTTACGAATTCTCAGCTTTCACAACGCAAACGTGAACATGTTAAACAAACGAATCACATTCCTCGTCGACGTTATCGAGAACTGCATGTCTCCAACAGCAACTGATTAACTGAATAAAATCCAGCTCATGGTAGTTTTAGGACTTCGTTTTTCGAATTTATCGGCTTTTTCCTCCTTTCCTCAGGGAATGAAATCTTGCATGATGGAGCCGATGGTCTAACTCCGTATAGAATTTTGCAGCAACAGAGACATCGATAAGGCGAAGTATTCGATTGACTTTTATGTGGTCTATTTCGTTATGGAATAATCCACTAGCGGAATACCACGTCCAGCGTTGAGGCTGGAGTTTCTATAGTTGGGAGTTACCATGGTTGGTTTCGGTCGCCATGATAAACTCAGATAGCAGCTCACCCTGGTCGTTCCATTCTAATCCTTGGGTTCCAATGTGACGTTCTTCGGACGTCCTTGTTGATGCAATCTTGTCGCTAAAATCTCCAACGATGACCTTGAAGAATGTATGGTCTTCTCTGTCGCAATTCTCCAAGTCCATGTAGAACGCTTCGAGTTCTTCTTTGTCATAGTTTGATGGCAGCGCGTACACGACGAAGATTGTTAAAGCCGGCATCGATCCACATCTTTTTAATCGTAAACGTCCGATTCGGGTTGTAAGTTGTTCGAATGAATCAATGTTCACGGACAAACTCGTGTTGACGAAAAGCTGATACCACCAACTCCTCTGCTGTCGCATTTTTCATGGCACAGTTCTTCTTCGGTATCAAAGAAGGGCGTTGTATGGGTGATGTCCTCTCGTCTCGGCCAGTCCGATGATGTCATACCATATTGTTCTTGCGTACAAGATTAAGTCCTCTATCGAGGACTCGGATGCAACTGTGCATGCATTGCAGGTACAGATTGCCACTTTGGTCTTTTGCGACTTTCCAGGCTAGAATGATCCTGAGATTTTAGCAGTCTTTTTTTGATAGTTCTATCCTGTGCTATCGTATCGAGGGCTCTTTGGCGGGCAAAGGAGTGAGGCTCGCTTATTTTACTGTGTTTAACTGCCGCGACCGACTTTCTATTAACCTCGGCATTGATCAAGTGATTTTCTTCGTATTTTTGTTGAGCAAACGCGAGGTGTTACTATTCTTTGTTCACGATTAAGCTGGCGTTTCGGCGGATTTCGCCTTCCTCAGAGCCTGGGAAGGTCAAGTTGATAGCTATCTATTCGGCCAGACACCTCCATAACCAAACAAAGAAACCCCAAACAAGATTTCAATCACTTTGAACAATTAGCTTAATCGTGAACAAAAAATAGTAACACCTCGCGTTTGCTCAACAAAAATACGAAGAAAATTACTGTATTCTTTCTTTGATGAGCTTACACGAGGTTGATAATGATGTTTATTTTCGGCTAACGTTTACGTCTTCGTCTTCCTCAGAGCCGATGATCCGAGTCGATGGTCCTCGCTTGTTATTCGCCTCGACGTGGCAGCTTCGCCTTCGTGTCCAGTTAGGTCTTCTTCAGTGAGCCATCTCCTCGAATGAGGCATCCTTACTCAGTGATGCCCTTTTATACACGATGCTGGTGGTCGATATAATGATAGTGCCATCTCCTCGAATGAGGCATCCTTACTCAGTGATGCCCTTTTATACACGATGCTGGTGGTCGATATAATGATAATGTCCGGTGATAACAACTTGTTTTTCTTCCAGACATACATCATTGCGCACATCATGCAAAAGTCAGAAAAAAAAGTGCAGAAGAAAATTACTGTGTTTAGCTTTTGGTAGCTAGGTATAGGTTGCTGAGCTCTGAAAGTGGGGCCGGGGTATAATCACGTTTAGCTTGCCAGTCTTTCCCAGAGTGGAAGGGAAGCTTTTTTGTTGCAAGCGACTCCTAACCGCCACCTACTTTCTGCCTTGTCGGTTCGTTATAGGTTTTTGGTCGAATTGCACCCATACAAACATGGATGTGGTTTCATAAACAGAGGAAGTACGTGCCAAATCGACTCGGCAAAAAGAGAAAGTACATTCCCTGGATCAACCTGCGGTTCAGGGAAACAAAGGTCGCTTTTGGTTAGCAATTAACCCCTATCCGCCACCTAGGAACGCGTCATGTTGCCTCAGGACTAACCGGCATGAAATCCCTTTTTGAGGAATATCCGCGGACGGGAACGATGCCTGTGTATATATATTCGTATTCATATGTTCTATTTCTTGAATAGCAATCATCTTATAAACTATCTACGATGTTGATTATTCTTGCT